GGCTGCAGTGGGTCTGGGGAGGCGTGGGGTGCACCCTGGACCACAGATGGGCCCTAAGTTCTGCCTCTGGTCCAGTCTCTTATTAGTCAAAGACCTTGCGTGTATAAAGCACATAACTTCCCTGAACCCGGCTTGTGAGTTAACTGTGGACAATGTCACTTGTCCCAGTGACCCTAAGGGCTGGTTGTAGGGATCTAATCAGAACCTGTGCACTATTTGCACACCTCACTCAACAGACACCTACTGAAGGCCACTCATGGCAGGCTCAGTGCTAAATGAAGGCCCGTAAGTACTGCCGGCACACAGTTAAGGGAATTTTCTTGTTAAACAACGAACTCTTTTCAGATTTTTATTCTTGTTGAAAGCCTCCCTAAGATATCTTAAGACACTTTCTTACCCCGGTTAAGTACAGTAATTTCTGGAAGGATTACTCATGCCCCCGAGTTGCAGGTTGGACCCCAGCCCCCTGCCCTTTACACGGAGGTGGATGACGGGGGGGTGACGGACTGTGATGCCTCAGGCACCCCCTTGCTGGAGACTTCTCTTCCAAGTTAAGTCCTTATCTTCACCTTCTTTGGTTATCAGTCTCACTTCCCCTCAAAGGGGTTTTAGGAAAATGGGTTTTTTTTAAGGTGTCAGTTCCTTGGATTCTAAGTTATAGGTCTGGCCACGTTTAGAGAGACACATGGCTAACGGGAACATAATAGATATGATACGTTATTAAATATCCCAAAGATGCACTGAGCCGTGCATTTGGAAATCACAGCAATAAAGGAAAGAGGAGGGTTTCTTCCTTCTTTTCTCCAACCTTGTGATTAAAACAACGTATTTCCTTTAACCTGGATAATAGATTTATGACATTTAACTTTAGAAATCAGTTTCTGTTAATTGTATTTCCTTCCGTTGAACGTCCTCTCCAGAAGTTCTGTGCGACAAGTAGTTCCAAGAAAATCATGACCATTAAAGGAAACTTTAGTCTCAAGAAAAAAAGAAAAATTGGAAAGAAAACTACTAAGTATTAAATATTTAACTGACATAAAGACTTTAGTGCATGAAATAAGATAGAAGAAAGAAGAGAAAGCCATCTAAATCTGTAAGTCACAAAATATTCTCACGTCAATTAAATATTGTTATGAAATCTATAGCTTACCGATTATAGAACTCATAAAATGTTTAGTATTTTAAAACTTACAAGAAAATACCAAATGCTAAGGTTTTGAATGAAGGAACAAATTATGTAAAACAAAATAAAAAGAGAAAACTAAATTAAAATTTTATTACAAAACTTAAGCCAACTGGGAGGCAGCAAGAAGACCATGAAAGGACAGTGGGATGTGCCTCTAATATAATTGAGAGCCTTAAATTCACTTGTGCCTCTAAGGAGTCACATAGGAAAGCCATTTCAGAGGCTGGAATATATTTTCCTAATTAGAGGAGAGGGGCCGGGACTGGCGTAAAACACTTTGCCAACGCAGGACACAATTACCAATATTAGTAGATGCCACTGCAGGCAGATCCGATTGAAGATAATAGTAATAAAAGAAAAGAGCAGAGAAAATCCAATGGTCATGACTTAGACGGGCTCACGAGAGCCTTCTCAGCACCACCTGTAACCTGAATTGTGCTGGAGAAAAGGCTGGAAATGCTAATAAGGCACGTGATTAGCGGTGGGTCTGGGGTTATAAGTTGCTTTTTTAATGGTGAAGACAGAGTATCGTAAGAAGATGAGAATGTCAGTGTCAATTTTTATTAGTGTCAGGAACAATACGCAGTGTATTTAAATCAGCTTCATTTGTATTAGTATTTTTATAGGTAGTAGCTCTGGAAGCAATAACATGGCCAATGCCTTCTAAAAAGAAGAACTAAATAAAGTTGCCAATGTTCTCCACAAAAGACCCATAACTTTTACACTGAGGAAAATATGCCACGTTTCCTGAGATACTCAGAATTCAGGTGCACAAAAACGCTGGGTTCTGGACCACAACAAAGCTGCAGAATCAACTGGAGGAACAGTTGTAGCAAATGGATGAAGTTGGACAGAATTAAAAACACACTAAAAATAAACCTTCCATATGAATCAGAATTTTTTCCCAAGATTTATGTAGAATGGCATTTAGGGTCCATATCTGGGTCAACTTAAACCATTTAAGAAACAACTCGAGACCTATTTAGCCTAAGCATGATCCGGCTGTTGAAAATAAGTAATTATCAAATTAGCAATAATCAGTGATTTTTATAAACTCGTTGTTAGTAAAGAAAAATAGGTGAATTCATTTTGTTTATGAATTTTCCAGCAATTATCACCAGCTTTCTGAATTGGTCTAATGACAAATTAGGTAAAGTTAAATATCCGACAAGAAGTTTTTTTAGAGAATTAGGAGACTAGGAAATGCTATTTTTAATTAAAATGTTTTTTTTTTTTTAATTTCAGAAAACTAGGCTTTGAAAAATAAACCGTAAGGGTTAAACTGCAGAATTTTAAGAATCCAGGTTCTGAGGACATCAACAATGGACCGTGTTTTTGATTTATATTCTAGACAATTAGTATTAACTGTGCATGACAGAAAGCTCAGCCTGGTGAGTGAGAAGCTGGCTCAAGTCAGAAGTCTGGATTCCTTACTAGTTGTTTAATCTTAGGCTATTTATGTAAACTGTTTATTTTCACTTTCTTCATCTGAGAATTGGAAGTATCATAGTTTCTACCTTCTAAGGTTCTTGGAGGATTGATGAGACAGATTGCTCCAGGACCCTCAGGACTTCTGGCTCTCAATAAATATTAGTTTTATTGTAATTACTGATGCTAATAAAGTGCTTAAACAGTAACTTCTATTTCTCCAGGAGGGTCATATTAAACATTTTTCCTCTCAAAGTTGCTTCTCTCTGCTAATGTCTTCTCTTTCTCTATGAATTATGTATTTCTCCTTAATCCAAAGCACACAAATTATTCATTCCTTCAAATTTCTCTTTTTCTTTTCAAGTTATTCTTCAAGACACATTACTCTAAAGGACTCTTCCCTCCTCTGAATAGTTTGATTCCCTAAAAAGACTCCAACTGGAAACACAGTTCTTCAGCTGTGGGATGCCCGAGGAACCCACTCTGGGAGGCACACATGGCAGGCTCCTGAAGCCTTGAGCATTTTCAACTTCTCTCCGTCATTCTACAAGGACATCAAGTCTCCAAACAAATAGGAATTGTTAACGAGGGCAGATGTAAAAAGCAAGAATGTAAGGCAGCCAGACACTCCGGCCATTTAATCCTGTCCCGATGTGTGGGTATATCTGTGTTCTGCTCTCATAAAAGTAGTTTAAAATGTAATATTTTCAACGATACAATCGACAACATATGCAGGGCCATGGATTTCCTACAAACACATCTCCACAGAGAAGAGCACCAGCCTGAAAGCTTGCACCCAATTCTGACAGATCCAGTTCCACTAAGCTGATGAACCGAAACTTGCAGAATGAAGGTACTAAGCTAGCCCTCCAAAGGAAATCACAGAGCACAGTGGCCTGGAAAACAACCGTGGAAATCATAAATGCATACACTGTAAATGTCAAGGTGTGCCAGACACTGTTACACATCCAGACACTGTTACACACGCTCCAGTTTTCACACATTTCCCAGAGGAACACATAGACCATCGCTGTTTCCAGAAAGGTGGATTAGACCCTGAGTCTGGGACATTCTGGGCTTGCAAACCTAGAGAGGAGACAAGGGTTTCCTCTTTCTCCTGCAGCATTTCACTACAAAACAGCATCAGGACAGAAAATGTATTGGCAGCATGCGTTTCTTTAAATATGCACTTAAAAAAACCCAACAGCTATACCTTGCAAAGACTCTGTGAAAGAAAACCCACTTGGAGTTTATTCTGCAAAACCTAGTCAGGTGGAATTTCCAGAGCATTGCCTGAGGCGCACAGCACAGTATCTAAGGCGGAAGTGCTCAGATCCACCCCAAACACCACCATCACATTATCCTCAAATGTCTACTGTCAAAAATTCACGTGATTATCTGATAGGATTATCTAAATTTTTTCAAAAATTGAAGTATAGTTGATTCACAATGCTGTGTTAGTTTCAGGTATACAGCACAATAATTCAGATATATATATATATACACACACACACACACACACACCATATACATACTTTTCTTATTCTTTTCCATTATAGAGTTATTACAAAATACTGAGTAGAGTCCCCTGTGCTAAACAGTAGGTCCTTGTTGATGATCTATTTTATACATAGTAGTGTGTATTTGTTCATCCCAAACTCCTAATTTATCCCTCCTCCCCCTTCCCTTTTGGTAACCATGAGTTTTCTATGTCTGTGGTTCTATTCCTGTTTTGTAAATAAGTTTGTTTGTATCAGTCAAGACATGGAAGCAACCTAAGTGTCCATCCACAGAGGAATGGATAAAGAAGATGTGGTACATAGATACAATGGAATATTACTCAGCCATAAAAAAGAATGAAATGATGCCATTTGCAGCCACATGGATGGACCTAGAGATGATCACACTGAGTGAAGTAAGCCCGGCAGAGAAAGACAAATACCATATGATATCACTTATATGGGGAATCTAAAAAAGAATTATCTAATTATTAAAAAGAAACATGGAGCATTCTGGACTTGGGTTATTCCTCACTCATGTTCTCGGATGAGCTCAGTTCCTTACTTCCATCAGCACGAAAACAAACCACACACGGGTGTGTGCACAGAGGCAGCGCACCCTCCAAGGAGGAAGTGGAGATTTTCCCACATTACAGAACAGCGTTTTTGTGTTTTGTTATCAAAATATTAGCTTGAATTGTTTCGGATCGACAATCAGTAGTTTTTCCCTTTCTCGGTTTCTTTGGTGTAGAGACAGAGGCCAAGTGAAATAGGCCTGTTGGCTTATTCCTCACAGTAAAATGAGGATCCAGGCTTGAAAAGTACAAAGCATTCTAATAATTAAAGCTGATCAATCTTAGAAAAAAGTAAAGTAGGGCAACCCTTACCTGAGCTCCTGGATTAGAGAATCCATTGGTGCTATTGACAAAAAGAAAGAAAGAAAAGGAAAATCAGTTTATAATTTTGAAAACTGTATGACAGAAACCTTTTACCGTCTAGAGATGACGACCAATGTATGATTAGTGCAGACCCCACTCAGTTTCCCTCTGGGCCGATTCATCTTTTCTGGTTCTGGTTCTTTGGAAACAAGAGGACAGGTGACCATGGCCCAGAACAGATGGTTCTGGATTAGTGCCTCAGGTGACCCTGGGACTTCACAGTCATGGATTGGACTTCCAAATACCTGTCTTTAGAGATTCATTGAAGAAGTACAGGACTTGAACTATTTTTTAAATCAATTTTACTGTCTCTAGGAAAAATTTCAAAAGAATCCTGTTTTCATTTTTATTGACATTAAACAAGCATTTAAATAAAACTGGCCAAGTTTTATTAATAAATATCCTAAGATTCTGTTCCATAAATTTCATTCCTGTAGAAAGAGAACTTTTAGTCACATTAATTTCAACATCCTATTAAAAGTAAGATATTTAGAGAAAAAAAGAGCTTTGATTTTTCTGAGATGATGGGAACTAAAGAAGTTCATGTTTATGAATACCTGCCTACACCAGGATACGCAGCATACTGAGAGACAACAGGTGGTTTTAAAGATGACTCATGCTGCATGAGAAAAAGTTGTTTCAGTTCTCAAAGAACATTTTGGCTCTATTTAAGGGTGTATATGTATGTGCCAAAAGGATTCAAAGTCCAAAAAGAATGGCAACTTAAAATACTCACAGTTTAGAAGTATGATAGAGTTCTGTGCTTTCAGAAGTCAGAATAAGAGATTCCAATAATCCAAATACAGTTCCTAGAATGCTGACGTTTATGGCAGACGTGAGCCTATGCTAAATAATGATAAAACTGTCCTTGTTTTAAAAACATGTATCCCATGGAGAAGTCTGCTGCATAAAAACGTGGTATTTCCAAAACTGCATTCCAAATACTAGGATATATGATGTAATTACTTTTAAAGTAACTTAAACTAAACCTGGAAAACAGAACACTGTAAAACTTCAGTTGGGGTAGAGAAAAGTCCCATATCTCGTACAGCGTGATTCTGCACCTTGGTTATCATGGCTGATGATAACGAGGGTTGTATTTTAACTGAAAAAAAAATCATCCTGGAATTTTTAAAAAAATGGGGGATTCTGGACTTTACTGAAACAGGAATTATAAACAAAGCTAATGAAAGCGTTGAATTTGGTTAGACATCTTCAACTGTACATCTCTGAACGCTTACAAACGACTGCCTGATCACTGTCGAACCCAACCTTTCCTCAGCAAGACCAATGCGAGAGGGTCAGGTGGGGAACAGCTGCCCAGCTTCCTTCCAGAGGCCAGGCTGAACCTTCCATTTAGAATGAAGGGTCACGCAAATATAGCTAATTATAATAAAAGTTATTTTCCTTAAGGGGTATTATTGCCAGTCAATCCTGTTTTCCAGATGTTTGGATCATCAAGGGCCTGTCTATATTTCAATATTACATTACCATCTGTTGGTTACAGAAAGAGAGGGATAACTGACAAGTTAAACCTTTCAGACGTTACTTCGCAGAGCTGCTGGAAATTCCCAGCAGGGACAGTCCAAAGACAAACATCGTCATTTTACTTGAACTAAGTTTAGACTGGAAGTCACTAAACCGGATAACATAAAAATCAAAACCTGCTTTGGCAATAAACGAACAATTCGGTCTCTGCCCTTGGACATTAAAGTCACGTCAATGATTTTGAGGTCTCCGTGAAGTGTTCTTCCCTTGCTGACCATTATGCTACTTCGCACGAGGTTTAAATCTACTCATGATTGCGTTTTGTAAAAATTAGCATCCTACATCGTTTGGACTATTCTGAGTCTTTTACTCCTGGTTCATAGTATTTAGTCTCTCAATGCCATGATCCAATGTCCTGGCTTGGTTTAAAAATGGAAGCCCTGAGGAAGTTGTAATTCTTCTGACTACACGTCAGGGACTGAGCACGGAACGCCCACATTTCATGGTGTGGTGAGCACGGTGTCGTGGAATCTGCTTGCTAACTCACCCTTGGTTCCTTTCGCACGGGTACGCAGCGTTTTATCTTCAGCCTCTGCGTCCATCTGTAACGTGAGCACAGAGTCCTGAGGTCACCGCTTTGACATTGATCAAAATACGAACACATGTCACTAGAAGTTCTGAAGGTCGTTATGAAAAGCAGAGTAGCCTTTCATGCTCTTGAACAGCATCTGACTCTGAAGAGATAGAGCTGTGACTGCCTCACACCCCATGAGTTCTGGAAACACTTCTATAGATGCTGGAACCAGACGGAAGGGACAAGGGGGCAGATGTCCTTGCCCACAAGTGTTTGCTAGTGATTCAAACACTTCCGGCATGACAGAGATAGAAAGAGGGATGGTCTGATTAACAGTGATTGTGAAAGAGCCAAAACCTCAAATGCCAAACCAAAAGGTTTCAGATTAATTTACTAAACCAGATTCCTTTGCGTTTCTAGAAGCTTTCTGCTACATGCCTCTTTCTAAGTTAGGAAAAATAATTCCCACTGTAAGAATCCAACGTGAACACAAAACGCTGAAATGCCCTCATTGTAAAATACCACTGGAAATGTTTACGATCAACAGTGGCATACATTTACTCCCGTAATTCCAGAATAAATGTGGGTTATAATCGTCCAAATCCATAAGTAAAATTTGAGTGTTGTGTCTGTCACTATCAAATTCCCTAAAACATCATTACTGATGATTTTAAATATAATGAAGCTAATTATCAAAGGGATGCCAAGACATAACAAACTTGTTTTTTGTCCACACGGAGATAGAGTCTGACCTGACTACACCCAACCATTCCACTAGGATCCTCTAAGCATCTCATAGTTTAATTCACTTTTGCACTTTATCAGAAGGAATTCTTAAGGAGAAAGAAGTTGTTCTGCTTGTTGAAAATCAGAAGCAGGCCGAAGGCGCTCTCCGCGGCTCATCCTTAAATCCCGATGCCGGCGGGGGTGCGGTGTGACTGCAATGAGAATGGGAGACGCATCTCTTCTCTCCGAGGCTGAGTTGTGATGGAAAGCACTGACCTGCCATAGACTTATAATAGGGGAGCAGGTGTGGCAATGATGGACTTTAATTTCCTTTAATAAACCTTTTATGCGCCACACTTTTACTGCCATTCGACGCTCTCCAAGGTCCTGCACATAATAGGTTCATTACTTTTGATTACTATAGTCTATTGAGACAAACAACTCCAGAACACACTATATATTACGTTCAGTTAAACCAATATAGACTATTTATCCATTGTGCATTTTTTCACCTGCAACACTACAGACAAAATTAATGACAGCTCTTGTAAGCTAAAACTATTAAAACCACCAGCACCCTTTTGTCATCATTTCATAATAAACACCACACCAATCGCTGAACTGTTTTTCAAATTAGCCAACAAAAGTGTCCACTGCTTTTTTGAGCAGCCATTGCTTTAGTCTAAGTAAAACGGTCCATTGTTAACGAATATTTTCAAACTACATGATAAGAGAAAACAACAGGAAAACAGGAGATTCTTTTTTCCTCCCGTAGATTTCCCTTCTTTTAAAACCACACAGACTTATGATAGATGTGACACTGCCTGGGATTAACGTGGCTTGGTTTACACAGGACGGTGGGCACTGCGCTGTGAACGCCTCCTCCGTGAGGGTCTCTGCTGCATATCAAGTGGCTCAGTTCACGCAAACTCCCTTCTGTGTGCTAAACGAGTCACTTGATTAGGAGAAACCAGTAGCTTGAGGGTTAAAATGGTGCAAACCATCACCTATTTCTGAGGGAGCTCCTCCCGTGGGAGAGCATCGCCTCAACCCGGGTCTGCGGTTACACTGCGTGCAGGTGCTCTAATAGCTCCCCCCGCCACTCTGGACGTCCCCATACTCCCCCGCCCCAAAACACAGGTGAAGGTTGAACTCCACGCGTTTCTTTACAGAAACACGGTGTGCAGAGTGCCAGCAGGCCTACAGAAACGTCAGAAAACTGCTTAAACGTAACCTTCTTCATAACGGCTCCAAGACTCGTGCTACTTCACAATTCAGCTATCCGAGGACCTGAGCGGACTGCCGCCGCCCTGTGCAGCCACCTCCCCGTTAAAGTCATCGGAAGGGAGACGTAAATATTCATGGGCCTCTGCTTGAAGGGGCCTGGAGTGCCAGCCTCACGCTCGCATTTTGTGGAGCTATTGGCCTCTTGCTGGTGGAGCACATACATCCCACACAAGCCTTGTAAGAACTGGCAACTCATCCATGAAGCTCAGCGTTCATTTTAACTTGCGGGCCAGGCTGCAGGTGTGGGATGGATCAGGCCCCAACATACAATCCATCCCTTTCACCTCCCCTCTCCTGTTCACACCTGAAGGACCGTAGCTGTTACTAAGTTCAGGGTCTAGTCCTGTCTTGCAGCTCTTTGGAAATGAGAACATCAGACACCTGGAGCATACGTGCTTTTCTTTGGGGGGCAACAATCATGAGAAAGCTCGCTCTCTGGTAGATCTCAGCTTAAAAATAAGCCTTTGTTCTCAAACACCTGACACATGGGAGCAGGAATCTCTCAATATTCTTTGTATGGATTATTCTCATGGACTTTAATAAATTGCCAATGGGAAGACTTAATTTTTGTAAAATCGAACCTCAGATTCAGTGGGTACCACGTTCCGGTGATGGTTCATTCAAGGGGAAAGAAGTTCTACCTCACTGCTTGTGCTGAGACCCAGGGGGCGTGCGGCGGGGCAGGGGGACGGCCACCCCTTCAAGCCCTCCACGTTACAGAAGAGGCCACGAGCACGTACGATTCAGGACATTGATCTAACGAACATGGCCTGTATCTTGAAAACTCCACTTCCTGTTGGGAACATGGGTTTTTTTTCTATTGGAAAAGGACACTTGACCATCTTTACTACCAAAGTCCCAAATTCTATCGACAAGCCTGCAACTGATTTTGTGAAACTTAATGAATCATTTCTTTTCCCAAAACAGAGCTTTGATTTTCTAAAAAGCTGTCCTTCTCCTCACTTCTTAGGACCTTCATCTCCATCCCATTGTTTATGGATGGGAACAAGACATTTTCTCACATTCCTATCACGGGTTCCTCCTGGCTTTGACAATCTACTCAATCGAGATAAAATAGTAAAGGCAAGTTTTGCCACTCTTATTTTTCCTGAAACTAAGAAAAGTTCTTTTAACCTATAATCATGGATATGTTATGTATAATATTTATGTAGAAAGGAAAAAAAGTGTTCCTGCTTGCTATCTATTTCATAATAAAGCCGTGAAAAAAAAATTTTAAGACTTTCTTCCCCAGTTCTCTGGGGAGAGGAGTTAATACAAGAAGAGGCAAGAGGGAAAGAAACTTATAAAATAAAGAAGGCAAAGAAACAAAACTCGGGGGAAGGATACGCCAGCACCAACAACGGAGATAAGCAGATAGGCGACAAAGAAGAAAAATGACCATAAAATAAATGTTCATTACTTAGTTGCATTTGGAAAGCCTTCATTTACTATCGTCACATATTTACAGACCTACATACAGGTGTGCAAAGTAATTCCCTAGTGACATGGACTTGGCCACCTTTTCCTCCTGGTGCTTAGTTAGTTACATCAGGGGTGATCAGGAGATCTTCCTTCTGCATTGCTCCAAGGCACAGATCTGGTGCCTTCTTTTGGGCTGAAGAGGGACCCCTGGAACTGCTGATTTGTGGAAGGGAGAGATTCAAAGAGCAGGACACCAAATTGATAAACTCAATTTTGCTTTCATTCATACAAGCAAATTATGGGTATGTGAGGAGATTTAGTTCCCTTTGATTTTATTTTTCACTCAAAAATCTTATTTTAACCTAATGGTTAAACAAACAAAATTATTTGTCAACAAAAACAACCTCCAAGTAAATATTTAATCACTTCTTAAGATTTGGGGAAAACAAATCTCTCGGTAATGCTTACATTTTATTTCTCCTTTCAACAGAACCCTGGACAGTGACGTCCTCAATATATATTTATAAGCAGTCTTGAGTTTCTTAATATTAGTAGAAAGGCCATGGTGATCATAATGTTTTGAGGACAGTTTCTCAAAATCCTTATACAATTAATTGTCATACTGTTTAGTGACATATATAATTTCATGCGGGTAGCTACTTTCAATTTGAGAAGTCCTTCACATACATTCAACTTGCAATAAGTCCCACTTTTAACAAGATTTCATTGTGTTCCTCTCCTGAGAGCTGGGAACTGACAAAGCAGTTTTGTCTGTTGTGCCTCATGACTCTTGTGAGCTGTCCCTTCAATCTTAGGAAACTCACGGCAACGGTGAGAGGAAGTTAGTTCTGTGCCTGCCCAGAGGAGGTCCAGGGGTCCTCCCCACGAGGAGCACCTTATCCTCAGCGGATGCTTTCTTTACAAAATCATCTTTTAAAAAACGACAAAGAGAAACTCAGGAAGTTGGAAAAGGCTAAAGCCAGAAAATGGAGCAGCTAAATGATGCCAGTACCTTGGGATGAAACTTGGCCAGATTGAAGAACAAAGAACCCTACACCGAGTGCCCTTTCTTTTGATGATTCTGGCATTATTTTGTTTTAAACATAGCTTTGGATCAGCCCAAAACGGCAGCAAAAGTTGTTTCCCTGTTATACAAGAAAAAGATGGGGAGAATGAGTTGTGATCCTAAAAGAATACTTGACTCATTGATAAGAATACCAAGATTGAATGTTCAAGTATTTTTTTCTCTGTTCTTACCCTTTTATTGTTTTCCTGGCTCTCCTTTGACACATTTATTAATTCCTCAGGAAGAGTAATTCAGAAAGTAAAACTTAAAAACATTTAAATGAATAAATTCAGGAGCTGTGACATCACCCTTGATGCCACGTTAATAATTTTCTGAACCTTTTCTGAATGCTTTATCCTAAACGCAATGAAAATTTTCTGAATCCTCTGTTTAGGGCACAGGATCCCTGATGTCAACTCTCTGTTCCTGTCCGTCTCTATTTGTACTGCCGTTGATTCTGCATAAACAGCTGAAGAACTGAATGATGGTACCGTTTACACCGGTAACCCGTCTCATGTCCCCTGATC